AAAAGTAGCAAAATACTTACAAATAGTCAATGCCCACAACAACTAGCACCGACAACAACCAATATAGACAATAGAATTAGCTCAAGAAACAAGAATCCATGACAAAATATGCATAAGTGAGGAGAACACAGGTCCCCCAAACAGATTCGGACCCAAATTAAACCAACACAACAACTCACCATCACGAATCAACAATAGAAGAGAAAATATCCCTTGCTAGAAGGATTTCGGCCTCTATATAGTAAATTCCAATAGGTAGAAATAAAAAAAAATTGGTCTACCGAACCAGGTCTAAACCTGATTGAGGCAAAAATCGAACCAAACACTAACCCTATAGCGCAGCAAAACAACAAATTAATAGCAAATACCACTAGAAAGAGGAGTTTCAACTCCTATAGGTCTTATTTTAGCATAAAGAACCAGCAAAAACAATGCCTAAATCCAGATTCAAAGAGAGGCACCAAAAAACACGAAAAACATTCAAAAATAGAAAACTCACATCAGGGATGATCACAAAATTCTACAAAAATCACCATAAATCTCTGGAGAGAATTTCAAGTCTAGGGGTGAATGGCTTGTCTGTACAATGCGTACGTCATGCTGACGACATCGTACGGCTGATGACATCAGCACGTCTCGGTCGCCTAAGATCAATCTCTAGAATCTGTAGAACACTTTCTAATGAAGAATAGATTGTTCTTGATACCAAGTTAAAATGTGAAATGAAGAAATTTAGGGTTAAGATTCAAGAGGAAGAAGAACAGATGAGAGAAGAGGAAATTTTTTTATATATCTTGAAAATTGTATTCTCAACTCTACATCAGCAAAATATATATACAAACCTTAATATTATAATATGACCATCGTACCCTCAACTTAAGTAAATATTAACAAAAAAACAAGAGAACGGAAAATAACTATTCTAACAACAATCATCACAATATTAATGTAGTATAATATGAACAAAATTGGAAACAATAATCAAAGCTTAGCAAGCAAGGAAAAACAAAATGAAATAAAAATAGATTTTTGAACAATAAAAGTAAAGAAATAGTAAGTGGGAGGAGAAGAGGAGGGTAGAAGGGTTTTGGTAGAGAAGTTGTTAGGTTAGGTCCTTGGGGTATCTGTGTGCAGAAAGAAGAGTTAGAAGGGACTAAGTGAAATTTTTTTAGTATGTGTTGGCTGTGGAGGTATGGCTTTGTTGCAACGGCGGTGGCGGCTATGTTATTTTCAATGAGTCTTTGTGAATGTTGTAGTTTCTCAGTTGATTTGATATGTGAGATTTATTGGAAGGGGTGTGGGTCTGTGAAGAATTTAGGTGGACTTCGTGGTTTTCGATCATGCTTTTTGGGCTGATTTAAGACCTTGATGAGTGAGGTATGGTGAAGATTGGAAGAAGCTGGAAGGTGTAGCACTATGGTAGAGGTGGAAGAAGGTGGCGCATGAAGCGGACGTGCTTGTAGCGTGACTCTATAGGTGTGTGTTGCAGTAACTTTGAAGTTCAGAAGTCGCAAATCACAATACAAGATCTTATACCAATTGTGAGAATTAAAATAATTTTAATTCAGAAAGAAGAATATCTCATGCCATGATGTTCAAGCCTTTGAATCTTTATCCTTGAATGATCAAATCTTGAATGTATAAAGAAGCCCACTCACAAAACACTTTTACAGAACCATATGGGAAAAGTGAAAGGGATAGAGTTTCAAGCTTATTCTATTCACAAAACAACGTCTGTGTTTGATGGCTATCACAGTCATATATATAGATAGGCTTGGACCCATATCCAAGTGTAACTCCTTATAACTTCCCACCATCAGGGAAGTTGTAAGGTCCCATGAAACCACCATATGGGATGTTAAACAGACATCAGTTACCCATTAACTATTAATCTAATTAAATATATATAATAAATATAAATAAATATGGGCCACTTTATGGATATTCTTACATTCTCCCACTTGGCACATATAACACACGTTGTTGACTGTCGGGTAACTAACAAACTGATTATGGCCATAAAAATATCCAAACCTTAGAGTTATAACACACGAATCATGGCGGTTATGCTCTATCAATTAAGTATTTCCTTCCATGTATTATATTGTATTACACTCTCAACTTTATGTGGTGTCATTCTTTATGAATAACTTCTAATAAGTTATTCTGGGTCTAATGATCCCTATGGATCAATAGTCCCAATGGACTGCATAGCGTCACAAATACTTTAGGTGTACAAAATGATGCTTTTCACTAATAATAATCAAAATGTTATGACAAAACAAAATAAAACAACAACTAAAAAAATTATTGAGCTAACCAATCAGTCCCATGCCCTCAACGTGTTTTGAAAACACCTTTACAGAAAGACCTTTGGTCATGGGATCTGCAATCATCATATTGGTATTAAAGTGCCCATGTATGTTCACGTCCCAATCTTATTCTTTGAGCTTTATTGCTTCTAAGCTCAATGTTCTTCCTACTTCAGATTTTGTAAGTTGTATAGAGGTTCTAGGGATTTTTTTGATAATAGGCAAAGCAGGTTGAAGTTATCTAGGGAGGGTGGTTGCAATAGAGATTTTTCTTTGAGAATTTAGATCCATGATAATATGTATTCTATGAAGCACGGACACCTCTCCGAGGGCTCCGTACCAATGTCAGACACGTGTCAGACACGGACACGCGGTGGACACGTGTCCGACACGCAGCAGAGAGTGTCTCATTTTTTTTAATTTTTTTTACATCCGGACACGTTATAGACACGTTTGGGACACGTGCGGGGGCAATTTCACAATTTACTAAATTTTTTTGGGGTCGATTTGAAAATAAGCAATAACAGATTGGGGTCGATTTGCCCTAATCAAGAGAGGACCTGACTCTACTTCGAATAGAAGAGAAACAGCAGAGAAAGGGTGAGAAAGAGAGGACCTGACTTCGTCGTTCGTCTTCTCTTCTCGTCGATTGTCGCTCCTCGTCGGTCGTCTGTTGTCACTCCTCGTCGGTCGTCGGTTGTCGGCCTGCGATCTTTGATCTTCAGTTGATCTTCTTCTTTGTTAAGGTACGACTCTTCTTCGATCTTCTTCTATCGCTCTCTCTCTCTCTCTCGCCCTAATCAAGAGAGGACCTGACTCTACTTCGAATAGAAGAGAAACAGCAGAGAAAGGGTGAGAAAGAGAGGACCTGACTTCGTCGTTCGTCTTCTCTTCTCGTCGATTGTCGCTCCTCGTCGGTCGTCTGTTGTCACTCCTCGTCGGTCGTCGGTTGTCTGTAGTCGGCCTGCGATCTTTGATCTTCAGTTGATCTTCTTCTTCGTTAAGGTACGACTCTTCTTCGATCTTCTTCTATCGCTCTCTCTCTCTCTCTCTCTCTCAGCCTCTTCTTTCCTCGTTCGATCTTCTTCGCCCTTCTGATCTCATTTTTTTTTCTTTTATTTTGATTTTGATTTTAATTTTATTTTTTTCTTTTATTTTTTTTTATTCTGATTTTAATTTTATTTTTTCTTTTCTTTTATTTTTCTTTAATTCTAATTTTATTTTATTTTATTTTTTCTTTTCTTTTATTTTTTTTTAAATTCTGATTTTATTTTTTTTTTCTATTATTTGAGGATATAATTTTAATAATGTATGTTTATTAATTTTATTATAGGGACCAATTATTAATTCTGAAACAATGGACGGTTGTATATTTTATTACCTTTATTTGATTTTTTTTAATAATTTTATGATATATAATAAATAAAATTAATTATATATATTGAACGTGTCCCAGCGTGTCGTGTCCCCTATTTTTTGAAAATTTGCGTTTTTGCGTGTCCATATCGTGTCCGTGCTTCATAGTATGTATTTATTGACTTCGTGTTTTTTAGTTTTTCTGGATGTACATGGGTGGCTCTCCCCCTTTATTGCCAATCTAATGTATGTCTACAAGTCAATTACAAAAAATCTGAACTTTGTTTCTTAACTAGTTGTTAGAAGGCCAGTACTCTAAGAAGCACGGACACTTCTAGGAAGGTGACGTATCCGTGTCGGGTACGTGTCGGACACCGACACTCTTTGGGCACTCTCAGGACACGTGTCCGACACTCTTCAAAACGTGTCCTATTGTTTAAAGACTTGGACACTCTTTGAACACTTGAAGGACACATGTGTCAATCATTTAAACACACGTGTCTAACGATTAGACATACGTAAAACTAATTATAAGTTTGAACAAAATAACTTAAGATACAATAATAAAATAAAAACCATATAAATTTATAAGAATTAGTGTCATATTGCATTTTTTATTATCTTTGAATGATATATTCATATATATATATAACATATAATAAATATATAAAATTATATATTTCATGCGTGTCCTCCTCGTGTCGTGTCCTGCATTTTTTGAAAATTAACGTGTCGGCGTGTCCGTGTCGTACTCGTGTCGTGTCACGTGTCCGTGTCCATGCTTCTTAGCCAGTACTCATTACTACTTCACTCTCCTTTTTCTGAGGATTGTTGATAATTGGTACGCAGAATATGGACTTCAAGGCATTGCATGTCCCGTGCTTCTAATAGATACACATGTATATATGTTTGCATATTCTTCTAATTGACAGAATGCTACTGCTCAATTTATGTTCTTTTTAATTTGTTATCTTTTTCTCTTATCTTCTTCTTCTTCTTCTTCTTCTTCTTCTTCTTTTTTTCTATGTAACCTAAATTATCTTTTCTTTCTCAATGGGTTGCAATGTTTGTGTGTAAAGAGAATAATTATGATATTGATTTTTTTCAACGTTTATCTTTGTGTGCGCTTTTGTTGCCGAACTTTTCTTTTTTTTTATTTTCTTATTCTGTCAGTATTTGTACATGTATACATGTGTATATAAATCTATACTTGCGTTGGTTAATCTGTGAATTCTTTTTATCCCACAAAAAGAAATTTTTTTATAAAAAAATCTAGTCTTTTGTCTGAATTTTTTTTATAAAATCTGACAAAACTTATAAGTGCTTTTGCAGGTCAATGGCACTGACTTAGCAGAAATACACGGTGGCGAGGTTGCTATCACAAACTTGCACTCCTGCAATGGTCCGGAGTTTGTTCTACAAGTTCATTTTAGTCAGGATGTTGTGGGAACAAGTGGACCAGGTAAGTAACCTAGGTATCAGCTATCATCATGATATTATATTTTTCTTTTAGTTATATTCCATTTACCCCACTGCTCCTCCCACTCTCTTGTGAAACAATTGGTTGGTGATGTTTCGTTTGTTGGCTAAATACTGTTAGATAGCTTGATGTACATTGTTGGGCCCATTTCCTAACAACTTAGGCTTTTGGGAAAATTGGTAACTTAACATACAAGCTTTTTTCTATGCCTTTAACATCTAAGTATTTGAATTTCCCAGGAGTAAGAGCATCTAAAGACGCAAATGCGCGTTTGAAGTTCGTTTACTTTCCAATTGTTGAGGTATAATTGTACATTACATGTTCCTTTTCTCTGTCTTGTAAATTTTTTAAATCCTTTTCCAGCATAGAGATATTTGCATGTGTTTGTATGTCAACTTGTGGCCTGCTTAACCATTGCTTCTTTTGGTGTGTGTGCGCAACAAAAGGGTAAGGAGAGTATTGATAGTATTTTGGAAAAGTTGGAAGCGGAAGGATGTGGAATTGCAGAGAACTTTGAAAACTTTAGTCATGTATCTATCCGACGGCTTGGTCGTCTACTTCCAGATGCTCGCTGGGTGAGTTTAATGAATTTCAGTTTTGTTTGTTAGTTGATGTTGGTGTTCTGCCATCAATTGTGGAGTAAAACCTTACCCTTCATTGACATAATTTTTGAAAGAAAAATTGTTTACAAACAAGATTTTCATACATGAAACTCAACCAGAATGATGTGGCAGTGCACTCTTGAAATTATATGGCGCAATGATGGGTGTTTTAATTTGAAATGAATTGTCAACATCTTGTTAATAGACCCTTATTTTCCATTCTGATAACGAAGTAGCACAAAAGGATATGATATGGAATACTAAAGTGAATGTTGGTTGAGATAGTAAATAAATTCAACTAATCTTATACTCACTCCATCCCAAATTGTTAGTCCATTTTCGGCAGTTGCGCATTTTAATCGGGTCAATAAAAAATGTATTTTTGCACAAATTCAAAGATCTCAATTAGTGAAAATGGACCAACAATTTGAGATAGAGAGAGTAGCCTTCAGTGGATTAAAGTGGTGAAAAATTACACAAGTAACCAACACTCAATAGTTGGATCATGTTGAATTGAGAACCTTAAGCCTTTTATTTTGTGTTGTTTGGTTGCTTTGCAAGGAGGGTGGATGCAAAATTACTTTCTGGCATCCTAGTTTCAAATTGAAGTTTACAATGCATTGCTTCTATTAAAAATCTTGTATACTTTTTAAGCAGAATGACAGGAGCATTTTTAGCATTTTAAATCAGCAAAATTCTGACATTGCCTGTTTTTGTAAGACTTATTAACAGATCATTAAATCAAGGGGTCTGTAAAAGATATTTTTGAAAAGGGGGGGGGGGGGGGGGGGTGGCCCTAGAAACCTCTAAGATGTCAATTTAATTTGATCCAAAGGAAAATAGAACTAACAATAGAATGTAAAGGAAACCATTGATATAGGGTTTAATGTAGTATAGAGCACCTATAACTACCCGCTTTCTATATCAGGTGGTATCTCCTCCTTGGGGGATGTTGTGGGGTTCAACTTCCTTTAGTGGGACATGGTATTGAAATTTTAATGACTAGTGGAGAGTAAAATCTTTGGATGGCTAGCTTATGCAAATATATGAAAATGATCAAATGAACTAAGAAACACAGAGAACGACACAAACATGACACAGGACACAACCATTTCAAAAAAATCAGGACCTGAACAAGATGTGGACGTGATTTTTTTTTTTAAAATATATGTTCTTATTTCCTATGTATATAAATATTGCATATATAAAAATAAAAATTAATGAAAACTAACCTCATTTAAGATAAAAAGTAAACTAATTGAAATTAGTTTGAGACTAGATTTGTGTTGGGATTTTGATATGAGTTCTATATATATATATCTTTAAATTCAACCATCATGTTTATAATCTAACCTTCTAAAATTAGCTTTGCAAAATTATAATTAGACCCTGCCGTGTCCACGTCGTCTCTTGAAAAAATTATTAAAAAAATAGACAAGCCTTGTGGCATGTACCGTATCTGTCCTTGCCGTGGTTGTGTCCAATACGTGTTTGATACAACTAAGACTCCTATTTGAAGTATTGGTGCTTCATAGTAAATGAACAAAGGACCACTTATTTAGTCACCAATTGTTCCAAATGCTCAAGGTGTTATGAAATGGCCCAACAATGTATATCAAGGTATTCAATACCCTCCCTCTTGTGTAATCTTGTCTTGCACGTGGAGATGCAAACAAACATATATAGAGAGAGTAGCAACACAAATGCAAATAGAAAGACTTGAACCCAAGAACTCTCCAAACTTGTACTTTTATAATATACTAGATCACCACTACTCCCCAAAGCTTAAGTTATTTGAAAATGGTCCCAACAATAAATATCAAGCTAACCAATATCATTGTACACCTTCAAGTTCAAAAGTCACATTAATAAGTAATTTTCTTCCATTAACCTAAACTACTAAGATTTTATGACAAAATTGTCTAGAACGTTGATGCGATTTTATTGTGGATTTAGGATGTAACAACTCTTGGTTATCTAGCGATATTCTTAATGGAAAAAATTTGCCTTGAATTTACTTCAAAAAAGTCTAAAGACATTGCAGACGTGAAGTATGATATTTGTATACAATATTTTAATGTCTTATTTTTCATTTTGTATTAATAGGTATGTCATGTATTTGTGTTTAGTGTGCCTTGAATGTCTCCTTTTTTGTTTGGTAGATTGATGCACAATTTTCACAAGTACTTGTTTTTTTTTTTTTTTTAATTGCAGACATGGATACCTTTTATGGAGCCTAGGCCAAAAAAGGGAGAGAAGGCCCAAATTTTGAAGAGATGCTGCACGAGAGTTAAATGCTTTATAGGTAAAAGTAATTTCATTAGTCAAACACATCACCCCGTGTTTATTATTCACGACTCGTGAGTACAAGTGTTTGTTTGTTTGTTTGTTTTTTTTTTTTTCTGTTTTGCCAGTATGATTCAACAAGGGCTTTTGTGGTTGCAGATACTGATGCTGGTTTTAATCCTACACCGTCAAAGGTATAGATTTTTTGGACATCTAGACATGCATGCATGTATGAAGTGTCCAATTTGAATTCTTCATAAACTTGCATACATGAACACACATAAACGTGTGCACTCATGTACCTACAGTGGTGAATGTACATGCTTTCACGAATATGTATAAATAATTATTTTAACTAGGTCCATCACAAGTAGGTACCTTTATTATCAACTTAAGTAAATATTGGTTGTTATTATTTTTCTGCAATTAACTATGGGTAAACCTAGTTGCCTATTTTGAATGTGAGAAGGAACATTTTTGTGATTTGTTTTATCATCTATTGCAATGGTTTTATAAGTTTCTTTCCTCTCCTATCATGAAAATAAATATATGGTTTTTCTTGATTTCTATTATGGTATTTATGTGGCTGCCACTTGAATTGCTCTAGCTTGTCATTGTCTCATATAAAACTAAAACACCGGTGTTGTTATATGGTATTCAATTTCAGCCTTGGTGTAGTTTGTTTTATTTGGTTCTATTGGATAAGTCGATTGTTTGAAGTTGAATCCTAGAAGGTACCTCCTTCATTTAGTTGCTTATGTCTTAGATATTTTGGTGCGTCCTTTTTTGTCTTTTCCTTTTTCTTCTTCTCCTTCTTCTTCCATTTTTTTTTTTTGTTCTCTAAAAAATTCTTTTGTTTGAGATGGAATAGTTCTTTCTTAATGCTATTCTCCTCTATTTGGTTTGTTTCTTTCTTCTAGTGTTGTGGGTATTTGGCAACATGTTCACACGTGCTACACACATACACTGCCACAAGCACCATGTGTCATCTTGGGATGGCAAACACATGAACCACAGGTGGATGTTCTAGATGACGACAGTGGTTGTTGAGGTCGGTGTTGGCTACCTCGGTTGCTTGGTTTCAAGGTTACTTGATCGAGTAAAACTAGTCCCCTCACATCAAAGCTTGTAATAGTTGACTCAGTTGCCTAGCTTGCTGGCATCCCCGTTGAGTTCCGTCTCCACCTCGACGATAAAACAGTCCCACAATCACCTAGATTGAGAGCAAGCAAGGTCAGCCCTAAGTTTTAAGGGGGCCTTAGGCGAACTTTTAAGAAGGGGACCGTTTACGTATTTACTCCAAAAAAAAAGAAAAAGAAAAAAAAGACAAAAAAAAAAGGTGATTAAAATGGTAAATACAAAAAATTACTAAATTTATTTGCTAGTTTCCACACAATTTACTTGCATATATAATAACTAAACCATACTTACATAGATTAAAATAAGGAGAAATCATTACAAGAATTCAAATGATATAAAACTGGTTATGTTGTTAGTTGTTTTATAGTTTAGTAAATCCAGTTTCCAAAGAGGGGGAAAAAAAAAAAAAACCTAACAAAATATGAAGTCACCTAAACATTACTCTTCTCACATTTTTAGATGCAAAATCATTAATGAAGCTTGCACAATCAAATTTATCTACCATATCCTTTTTAATGGATAATAAAGCTAACCCATTCAATCTTTTTTGTGACATGGTTGACTGAAAGTAAGATTTGATTAACATTAACTTTGAAAAGCTTCTTTCTCCCGAGGCAACTGTAACTGGTATTGTAAAAAAAATTCTATAAACAGTACATGTATTTGGGGAACAACCGTTCATTACTTTTAAATAATTTACTACTTTAATTGGCCTCTTGGTTTGTTTAAGTAAAAATTCTTTCAAGACTTTCAACTCTGAAAATAGTTCTCTCCCATCAACATCAAGTTGTTTGTTATGTTTCAAACAATCTCCAAGATTTTACAATAAGTCTTCAAACATTCATCGTTGGTAGAACTTAACTTTTTGAAATCAAGCAAAAACCTAATATATTGGAAATTGTTCAAACATACAATTGAGTGAAGAAAGAGCTTGATCTATTATACATGATTTAATTAACTCTAAAATATTCTTCAGCTGACTTTGTCACCTCTTCACTAACATTCTCATCAAATTGCTTCTTTCTGTGAGGCATTTTTCTTGAAATACTGGATCAATTTTCATTACAGTTGCGACTTCTTTAGCTTCAATCATGGCATCCAAAAATCTAGTTTCTCTATACTTTTCGAGAAAGGTAATGAGTCGTTTTAACTAATTTATAGCAACATCGATATGCATGTTTTCAATTTGAAAGGTTTTGCTAACTGAGTTGACTGCAAACAATAAATTGTTCCAAATAATCATGCCAAGTAAAAATTCAAATTCTCAAGTTCATATGTTGCCAACGACTCATCTTTACTCTTTGTTTTGGGTTTTCCACTAATATTTGGCGAATGAACTAAAGAATCTTTTATTTGTGGAGCTTGGTATATTGCTTTAACACTTTCGATTTGACTTTCCGACTGTGTTTGCGACCACGGCATAAGTGTGACACCTTTTGCATGATCTTTGAGAACTTTCCACCACCTTGTAGAAGATGAAAACAATAAATATATATGTTGTACCACTCCAAAAAAAGAGATAGTTTTGGAACCAGAGTTAGTCATATTACAAAGTGCAAGGTTAAGACTATGACAACCACGTGGTATGCAGAATGCTCTAGGATTTATTGCCATTATCATTTCTTTGCCCTCTTATATCACCAATATCAAGTTGGAGTGTGTACAATACCTCTTGGTAGAATTGCTTCAAAAGTTTCCATTTCTTTCTTTTTAAATTTTCTCATTGTCTCCATTAAACGCCAAATTATTTTTAGCAAGAGTTATCACAACAACTATCCTTAGTAAAACTTGTTTCCAATGTTCTCTTTCTTTATTGATTTGTTCTTGAACACATTTATCAATTGTTTCATTCTTTTGCAATCTAATACCCAATTCAATCCATTTGCTCATACAAGTAATGTGCTCTCTGCTAGTTTCATGACTTCTAAGCCTTTACCCTAGATTCTTCCAATCTTTAAATCCATTAGTAGCCACTTGAGTGTTGTTCCCGTCTGTCTTGCTTAAACAATTTACAACAAAAGCAAAATAGTTTGTCTAAAGCATCTGAATATACTGTCCGTTTTCTACTATGCTTCTCTCAATTTTATGAAATCTCAATTGTAATATGTAGAGGAGACATGTCTATCCTTGTCATCTTTAGGAAAATTGACAACGTTACTTCTTATAGGACCTCTTTCAACTAATAAATCTCCGAAATTTTGATCAATCTTGTCTTAATTACTTGGGTCATAAATGTTTAAAGGACCAAAGTCAACATTGAAATCTTCACCTTCATTGGGTTTTCATTCACCAAATCTTCATTCTCACTCTCATTCATACATTCATTTGGTGGTTCAATTACCAATTCTTCATTATTGTTCTCATTTATACATTTATTAGGTTATTCAATCACCAAATCTTTGTCAACCGAACATGAATTCTCTATTTGTTTCTTGCTACCAAGAAATTTATCAAGCGCTTCCGATTAAGATTGAATAAAATTTTCTACTGTTTGCTTCTTTTTTCTTTTTGTAGATTTGGAAATATACTTCCTATTAGTCATGGCTATGTAATAAAAACTCCACACGAATTCACAATGACCGATATATACAAATAATATGTTTTAAAAAATCAGAGCACAACAAAGAGTACATATTTCCATTGAAGCACCGAACTCATGAAAATAGCAACAAACATAGAATTAGAATTGATTTATTGCATACCCATATAAGCATAGATAACAACAAATTGAATTCATGGACAAAAGAACACAACATAATTTAGGGCAACGACTATAATTAAGGTTAACTGAGGGCAACGACCACAATAGTGAAGAGCCATAATTAACGGTGTTAAGTAGTAAGTAACTTAAACAATTATAGCCCTAATTGATAATTAGGACTAAACAGTTATATCCTTAAAAATATAGGGCTCACAAATTATGGAAAATAAATTAGGAAACAAAAATTAGGGTTATAGGAAAACTTTAGGGCACATAAATTAGGGCAGCAACTATTGTCTTCCATTAAAATTTGATAGAGAGAGAGAGAGAGAGAGAGAGAGAGAGGATTCACTGATTGTTGTCACCAGACCAGTACACCGATGATTCTTGTTGCTGGACCAATAGGTTGGCAGTTGGACCCAAACAGATGTTTGTTTTCTTTGCCTTGCCATCGTTGCCAGTTGTTTCCTTGGCCGATTGTTCACTTTGAGAATCGGAGAAGAGACAAAGATTTTGTTTGTTCTCTAGAGTGAAGGGAAGAAATCGATGAATTGAATTGAATTGATATAACTTTTTTTTTTTTTTTTTATTTTGCTCAATATAAATATATTGTTAACATATTAAGTTATCATTTTATTGTCTGAGTTATTAGTTTGTAATTATTTTATGCCTCAGGGCTCCCTTGTAATTTTTACAAAACTTTAATCTTCATTTATATAAATAGGGCATGATCCTAATCAAACCCTAAGCTAGTTACTGTCTAAAAACATCATGGTATCAGAGCTAAACCCTAATACCTAACCCTTGCTACCCATATTGTTCCTATTACAAACCGGTGCCACCAGCCACCAGTCACCACCGGAGTCAGTTCCTCTCTCTCTCTCGCCTCACGCTGACTCCACCCTGAGGGGCTTCGGCTTACGTCGACAAAGACCCACGTAATTTCGGGTGGGTTAATGCCTGTCTAGGGTTTCGGCTCACCCTTGGTGGTCGAAATTCGCACCAACGATCACTCTAGGGTTCGAAACTTACCTGGGTTGGTCATCTGCTGGTGTCGACTACTCCTATGGCGTCGTCGCTTGTCGCAGCTTCAGTCGATCTCCTTCGCCGGTTCAGTCGATCTCCTTGGTCACCTCGTCAAGTCAATCTCCTCTGCTCAATCAGTTCGTCACTTGTTTGATCTTCAGTTCGTCTCTTCAGTTGATCTTCGTCGATCCTCAGTCTCTGGGGTCATTGTGCCTGCTCTTTTACCACCACCTTCCGGGTTTGTGATTACCACTAGTTTTATTGCGGGTTTGGTAGTATAGTATCTATGGTAGATTCCACCAGTGTGTCCCCTACCTCTCAAACACT